GTTCCGTGATGTTGAAATGCATTAGAAAGGCCGAAGATTTGAGGACATCCTGACTATCTAAAGAAATGCGACACGTGAATTTCTAGCCATTAAAAAAAAAGACATTATGAGGTGTTTCCAGAAGCTGCATGACCGCTGGCAGAGGCGCTTGGACTCCCAAGGGAACCACTGCAAAGGTGACCCCAGCAAGTAACTGCGAGACCCCAACTCACAAAAACGATATGTCACGTCCTAAAACTTTTGGATCAAACCTAGTATTTCGTAAAATCAGTTTGCATATAAAGAATACCTTTAAGTAGTAAAATATGGAATAGAGGTGTGTGGGATTGCACTGGCGTCGCCTTGCAGGTATTACGAAGAGACGGAGATCACCGAGAAGACGACTCAGTACAAGAAGGTGATCGAGGAAAACGGGTCGACGCTGATCATCAAGAAGGTGACTGAGGAACTGTCGGGGAAGTACTCGTGCGAGGCGTTCAACGCCCTCGGGAAGACCAAGAGCACCGGCGTCCTCTCCGTCTTGGGTGAGTCCTAGATGAAAGGGAGGAGCAGAGAGGGGGAGAGAGAAAACTCGAGATGGCACAGAGAATGAATTTCGTTTATGCAGCTCCGCCCAAGTTCAAGGCTGGTTTGTCAGACAAGGAGGTTAACGAGGGTCAGAATATCGAAGTGGAGGTGAAAATCTCCGGGGTCCCTCAGCCCACTCTTCAATGGTTAGTTCTCGTTCGCTTCTCTAGACGATACGACGATGTTCTTCCGTAATGATGAGATGGGCGGACGGTTGCAGGACGAGGAACCGGGAGGACATCACGGTGGACAAGACCATCAAGCTGGTGAAAGTGGATTCGGAGACGGAGCGGATAGTGATAAAGAACGTGACGAGGACCCACGCCGGGGAGTACGAAGTGGTGGCCCGGAACCGCCTCGGCCAGGCGACCAGCTCGGGGAAGATCACCGTCAACTGTGAGTCGCTCAGAGCGCTCCCCGATTCCATGCTCTTCTCCTCGCCCTCTTTCCGTTTCGAGCGAGGGGAGAGAGGCAGACTTATACAGACTACCAACTACTTTATCCTACGGGAGAAACTCTTATTGACAGGGGATGAGGAACTTGATTTCAGTACCGTACCTTACAGATTTCGATCTCTCTGCAACCCACGCAGATAACTTACAGTGACGTAACTTGGATTGTTTTTGCAAGGGAGAGCAACTTAGCAGGTACAAATAAACACAATGAAGTAAACTCCACGTTCAAACATTAATAGCTCAGCTCGATTCTCTACGACGACGTGGCATGCAGCGACGGCACTCCGCATCATCCATGTGCGTCCTGCACTTGTTTCTGATCGTGGTGTTTCCGATGCAGTGAGAAACACACTTCAGACCGCGTTCGTCAACAAGGGTGGATGAGATGCCCTTCCTGTGTGTGGCTTTTCTTCTGGATGTGTTCGTGTGGATTCCCTCAGTGTGCTTTGGGATGCGAAGTGCATTCGGTGCCTTTCCCATTGTGGATGCCGCGGCGGATGGACCCCGCCCGTTGTGACTGTGAGGTTCTGCCTAAGAACTACGTCTTAAAAGCGTAGGATATGTACTTCGTCTCTTAGGTGTAAGCTATCAATTACGAAACGTCCATGACTGCGAAGAGGTGGAAATGCAGTCGTTGGGGTGTGCAGGGACACAGGACAACTGGGTTGAGGCGAGATTATTCCCTAAAGTGATTCGGGTGTGGTCACAAAACGGTTTCGAGTCCTGACTTGCGAATCGCAGCAAGATATTCAGCATTCTTTTCTTATCGCTTAACTATCTGTCACTCGCATTCCGTATTCGACTAGGTGCCCATTGACTGTTATACATCCTCCGCTCGGTTCACTGTCTGAAAACTTCCCCCTCAAAATTGGAATGCCAAGGAGTCACTACGGGGTATCCTGTATGAAATACGATTATGGAATCGATATTCAAGATAAGGCATTTCCTACGCCAATGCTATTCAACCATTCATTACAGATCAGTTCAATTTTCCAAAAAATTTTTGCAGACAGGCGAGTCAGCCGTTTTGATCAAATGTCACTAAGTCTAATCATTGATTCATTTATTACATTGGTGAACATACCGTCCCGATTGTTCGCGGGATGCCTTCCCCCACCTGGCAGGTAGACAGCGTAGGTCGTTCTTTCGGGTAAAGCTTTCTAAGATATGACTAAGATATAATTAAAAGATCTGAGGTACGAATATAATTTTAGGATACCTTTTTTACATATAATAATCTATAATAAAGTAAAAATAAAAAAGCGTTCTAAGAGAACGAGAAGAGCAGACATCGGAAGAGGGCAGAAAGAGTGCGGTAAAGTTAAGAGAAGGGATAGAAAGTACAAGACTCCACAGGTCCTCCCTCACCTATGCCGCAGAGTCCGGTCCTCGTTCCGGAGTTGCTTCCAGAGTTGCGCGGCTGGGCTAGAGAGCTCGTGCGGTTAGTCCATCAAAGCCCTTCTGTTTTAGTTAGCATAGAGTTAAATGCACGTCTGGAGGAGGAGATCCTCCTGTTGTTTGTCTGAAAGTAACATGTAGCGAAGAAGAGCGAAAAACAGAGAACAAGAACCGGGGAATAAGTTGAAAGGCATCTATATCTTCCTTGCAATTTAAAAAGAAAAAAGGTGACCCTGGTAATGGGTCCCAAAGTTAAGAGACCAACCCATTGTGATTATGATATTCATTTGGATGAGTCATTGGGCATGCTTTTTTCCCTGTATCTTAGGCGGGAGTCATCGCGCTGTAAAATGGAGTATGCGAGGGTCACTCCGAAAGTCTTTAGTATCAGCTCCGAAGGATTTTCGTAATGATTTAATTTTCTGGTCAGTGAAAGATTGCAATATTCCATGTTTATTCCCAGCACGACTTGTCTAGACACAGTTGCAGTCGTCGGGAATAAATTGTAGTTTGCAGCCGTGCAAGGCATATTCCAGATCCAGGCAATGGAGCTGTCGAAGAGAGCATTTCCGTGCCATGAATGTCTACATTTTAACTACGACTTGAAAGTCGGGCTCGCAGCACCTGATTGCTTTGCCCGTTGACAGCAATAATTTGGAAAATATGCTCCATCATCTGCCGCAATTTACAACTGGTTCGTTGAATTTCGACGAGAGTTAGTCAACTCGGAAGATGAGCTTCGAAGTGAAAGTGACAGTCCTGGAAACATTGCTCATGCCGAGTCTGTTATAGAGGAAAATAAGCGAATCACCTATGAAGAATTAGAACAAGGTCTAGACATCGGATCGGCAGTAGTACCAAATATTTGCTCATCTTTGTTTGAGGAAGATTTTCACCCGACTGGGTACATCACAGTCAGTCGAGTCCAGCGAGAAGCTCGCGCGGATTAGTTTTAATGTTTGATGGAAAAGTTGGATGAGGGTCAATTTCGGGAGCTTCTTTAAGCGCCATGAAATCTGGATTACGATCCGGAAATGATGCGGTTATCGGCAGTGTGGGCGTTTCCGTAAATCCAAACTGCTCGAAAAACCGCGCAGCGTCCTCCAAAGCCAAGCATCTGTGGTTGCACCATGACGATGCTAGTGCACACAGCAGCGCGCGCATGCTATTTTCTTGCCGATGACAATTTTCGGCTGCTGACTCACCCTCTCTACTCAGCCGATCTCGTCTCTCGTGATTATTTTCTTTTACCAAACGTGAAGGTTATGCAAGGGAAGTAATTCCACGGCGACGACAAGGCACTTGAAGCTCTTCGAGAACATTTGGCAGCCATCACTTCAGACGAGAGGTATGCATGTTTCGAAAGGTGGTTTCATCGAATGGAGCAGTACATTGCACCTGATGGCAGTACTTTGAATAACCGAGGGGTTTCATTGCCCTAGAACAACGGCAAGTCCCTCATTCTAAAAACTTTCAGAGTAACCATGAGATTGAAGGACAAATATCAGCAAAGTGTTTGGCATAGCGCTGCTTTAGACGAGGGACTAGCTGGATTCTCCAAGCAACTGAATGACATTAACAATCACAATAACACGATGACATAACTCATACCCGACCTTAAATTATCCCTAAGGTCAGAAGTTGTCCTGAAACCCAGCTCGCCGTCTTGATCACTGTGCAGGGTGGCAATAATAGATGCACTTTTTCTGACCTGCAGAGTTGCGATGGACTACAGGATTACAGTTAGATTGTCCAAATCGCTCATAAAATAGTGCTTCTTTTTCGTGCTTCAGATTTCACTAATTTTGCAACATGATCTGTTCTAAGCCTTATGATTCGAAGGAGGTGCAGCACGTTGACCGTATCAGAGACATCACCTTTCGAGTAGTTCGCGATGCAGGGTGTCCGAACGACACCACGAGCAGCTTCGTCGATGTATCGCGCCTTTTCTGAATCATTCAGCTTAGAACAAGTCGTATTGCAAAATCAGCAAAATAGACTATTCCGATTCATGGAAAAGAAGCACAACTAAGCCAACTACTGAAATGGGCTAGCTATAATCCGTCACGTTTTCACTGGTCAGGAGTAGTGCATCCATTGCTACCCCGTACTTGGGATCCTATTCCATTTTGCTGGCCACGAATTAATCGAAATCATTCTCCCAACGACGGGTTCATTTTCTGACTCTTCCTACTTCTACGTTTCATGCGAATTCAAGTAGTCATTTTAGTGTTAGCCCCCCCAAAATAGGGAAAGTTTCACGGGAGTCAGGCGTCCCTCTCTTAATCCTTACCTGCTCTTCTCACAAGGTCCCTTCACCTCTCGCGACATTTCGTTTGCATTTGCCCAGTAGACTTAGCCCTCGACCCAGTTCACGTCGATAGCTTCGCAGTTACAGTTTCCAGATGGTAGGTGGGGCGCTGATTTCGATTGCGCGTTCGTGCAGTGGGCGTTCCCGCTCGAGAGACACGCTGACAGCGTCGGGGTAGGCTCCAAACCTAAGTGATAAGTCGGGTGCTGGAGGAAGATGTGACGCATGGGATGCCTTTCCTATCCCGACAGGTAAACAGGGTACGATCGCTCTTACCGATAACGAGTTCTCAGGTTGAAAGCGACGTTGACAGGATGTCGCTACGGCGCAGCAGGGCGATTTTGGGCGACACGGAACTGAGTCGAAGTTCCCGAATCACGAAAATGGTCGCTCTCGGCGACGGAGAGTCTCTCCTCTCCTCCGGTTCCTATTCCCGAACTCGGGTGTCTCACACCTTCGAGAGCAAGCGAATTTCCCTCTCATCCACTACCGGTTCTTCGACCGCTGCTTCTACTGCATCCGAGCCACGAGGTACGTTCCTCGTTTTGGATATCTGTTCTCCCTTTCTTTGATACCGTAATTTTTTTAAAAGTCGAATGCATGGGTCTCATACGTTGAGTCTCGCATGGCATTCAGAGACCAACGTTGTTGAACTCCGAATGGCGTGCTACATTGCAGATTTGCGATTTTTCGAAGAGAATATTTATTTTCGGTTCTGCTGTTTATGCGCATAATTGCTCAAATCTTTATTAAATGTAAGAGTAATGTGTAATATGCAGATGCCTTTATTTGGGCTAAGTTGACTTTTGGGGCTTTCGACTGGAGCATGGTCCCATTCCCAATTTTCTTACAGGTTCACTCGTCACCGAGTCCCATCACCGACGCGAAGAGTATGCATCGTCTTCCTCATCGTCGCAAACGAAGCCGACTGCCGAGCAGGACGAGCAAAAACCCAGCGAGGAATCGAGCGTCGACGCTACGCCCGAACCCGCAACGAAAGCGAATGACAAGAAGGAGGCCGAGCCGGATGTTGATATTGAACGCATCCTAGAGGCGTCCCGGAGACGAAGGAAGGAGCTGAAGGAGATCATCGATGCTGTGAATCCTGAAGCATATACCGAGATGGAGGCTGCACGCCGGGAGAAACAGGTCGAGGTGGTGAAGGAGGACGGGGGAGAAAAGGCAGTAAGGAAGGATGGGGGAGACGAGGACTCCGCGGTCGTGCAGTCGGAAGAGGATTATTGGAGTCACCGGCGGGAGAGTCTGATCGAAATCGGGGCCGTCGAAAGTCCTGCACCGGTAGAATTAAAGGAGGAGGAACCGGCCGTCCTTCCCACAGAAGACGATTACTGGCAGCATCGACGCGAGAGCCCCGTCGAAATGGGCGTTGTCGAGAGCCCCGTTCCCTCACAGGAAGAGCCTGCCGTCCAGTCCGAAGACGATTACTGGAAGCACAGGCGCGAGAGCCTCATCGAAATCGGGGCCATGGAGAGTCCTGCACCTGTAGAAGACCAGAAGGAGTCGTCTCCCGTCGTGCAGTCGGAAGAAGATTACTGGAAACACCGACGGGACAGCCTCATCGAAATTGGGGCCATCGAGAGCCCCGTGCCCATGGAAACAGAACCGGACGAGGAGAAAGCGAAAGCAGTCAGAGAAGAATCGCCCTCTGTCCCAACAGAAGATGATTACTGGAAGCACAGACGCGAGAGTCTCGTCGAAATGGGCGCCGTCGAGAGCCCCGTTCCTGTCGAAACGGAACAGGAGAAAATAGTCGAAGAGGACTCTTCTGTAGTACCATCCGAAGACGATTACTGGAAGCACAGGCGCGAGAGCCTCATCGAAATGGGCGCCGTTGAGAGCCCCGTGCCCCTAGAAAAAGAAGAAGAAAGAAAGACGAAGGAACCATCCCCCGTAGTCCCTTCCGAAGAGGACTATTGGAAGCACCGACGACAGAGCCTCATCGAGATGGGCGCCATCGAGAGCCCAGTCCCCCCAGAGGACGAGAAATCTGACCGAGCGGAATCACCCGTCGTCCCGACGGAAGAGGATTACTGGAGCCACCGGCGACAGAGCCTGGTGGAGATGGGCGCCATGGAGCCCCTCCCCGAGGCAACCATGGACGACCTCCAAGAGGTGACCATGGAAAACCTCCGGGAGACGATCATGGCTGACCTCCCAGAGGAGGACTTCTGGGGCCAGCGCAAGAAGAGTCGACTGGAGACTCTCGACCTCGAGATGCAGATGATCCTCGAAAAGGAACGCACCATGCTCAAGTCCGAAGACGGTGGAGGTAAAAAAAAAAGCTTTGCATGACCCCAGTGAATGTGTCTTTTCTTTGGTTTGGCGTGGCACGTCGTAAGCGATGAAGTGAGGACCCCCGCTGCATGCTGTGGTGGTTTTCTTAATTTAAAATTTTATTTTATTTTTTTATTAGTGCGCGACGCGTTCCGGCGATGCCACGCATGTGTTCGGTCCCCGGGACGGGCGTGCTCTTGTGACTTCATTTCCTTCTTTCTGAGAGTGTGTGCAGTGAATCGATCCAATAAATCGGCTTGACTCTCACATCGGTTTAATTTCTTTTGATGACCTCTCTTTTGACACTCACACCATTCACGTTTACACTTCACACCATAACCGTATGCCTAGGCTAAACTCTGGTGCCTCCCCCATAAATTAGGTGCGGATAAAAAAAGAAAATGTAAAGTTGGCGTAGCGGTGAGCGTGTGGCAGATGAGGGATCGTTCTTGCATCTGTGTGGTTTCACTCATCCTGCTCTGGCGTCCTCATCCTGACAGGGTAGAAACGTGTGTATAATTAGGCCTATATATATGTGTGTGTGTGTGTGTGTGTGAGTATATGGATGTGGGTGTTTGTGTGTCTGTGGGTGTGGTTGTGCGTGCTTACGCGCATATGTTATCGTGTCCCATTTACGTTTGCTTTTACAATAATGCCATTCGATGAAAGCTCGAGAAATCTTTCCGCAACTTACAAAATTTAATGGATTGAGCTTCACCGTACTTTGCCCTAACGGCCATCATTGGCGATATCAAGTAAGTCGGACTAAGTGCACCGTGGCCCTCGTGGCCTTCGGTTCAGTAAGAATTCCACCCCATAAAAGAAATAGCAAACGATCGCCGCCCCCATGCTGCCCCGTGCTGACCCCGATTCCCCCCGCAGCCAAGCCGGAGATCGGACGGCACACCCTCGACGCCGAGGCGGTGGAGACGGAGGAGACGGTCCTCGAGATCGTGGCCACGGGCATCCCCAAACCGAGCATCAAATGGTAAGCCCTTTCCTTTCTCTCTCTCTCTCTCTTTCGACGCGACGAACCGCTCCGTAACGCGCATTGCCACAGGTACATCGGCGGGCTGGAGATCAAGGAGTCGTCCCGGATCCGGATGCAGGAAGACTCCGGCACGTACAAGCTCATCATCACCGACACGAAGCGGGAGGACGCAGGAACGTACAAGTGCGTCCTGAAGAACAAGCTCGGGGAGGCATCCGCCGAGGGGAAGCTCACAGTCCGAGGTGCGTGCGAAAGGCGTTCCGGTCAGATTACGAACCGTTTCGCGAAGGAACGACACGGACTTCCACGTTCTTCCTCGATCCAACTGCAGGACTGGACGAGCTGAAGCAGCCGAAAGTGCTGGCAAGTCTGGAGGACGTCACGGCGACGAAGGGCGAAGACGTCACGATGAAGGCCAAGATCAGAGGCCGCCCAGAGCCCAAGGTCGAGTGGTTCCACGACGGCAAGAAGCTGGACGCGTCCGAGACCGTGAAGATGGAGACGGACGAAGATCATCACTACATCCTCCGCCTGAAGGGTGTCCACGAGACCCAAGCCGGCGAATACTCCATCAAGGCGACGAACGAGCACGGATCCGCAGACTGCAAGGTAATTGCTGTCCCTCCTCCTCCCTCCCCGAAATCTTTGTTCGATCCGACGAAGTCGACCGTGAGGATTCCGTTCTCGGTTTCGCGCAGGCGAAGCTGACGGTGCGGATGAAGCCGGAGATCGAGGGGCTCGGGAACGCGATGTGCGACTACGGCTCCGAAGTGAGCGTGACTGCGAAAATCAAGGCGAACCCTCCCGCAACCGTCGCCTGGTAAGACGATCCGCCACCCGATCCACCTCCCGGATCCGCCTCCCAGAGTGGACTCAGTCGGTCTTTCCCGCAGGTTCAAGGGAAAGAAGCGCGTGGAGAAGTCGGACCGCGCGCGCTGGTACGAGGAGGACGGAGACAGCTTCACCCTGGTCATCTCAGGGGCGAAGGAGGACGACGCCGGGGAGTATCGCTGCTCTGCGTCCAACGACCTGGGCAAGACCGAGCAGGCCTTCAAGCTCCATGTCATCAGTGAGTGGAGATCGGATGGGATTGACCAAGGGGGGAGGGGAGGGGAGGGGAGGTTGCAAGGTCTTTTAGATCAGGGATGAGTGGCCTTTTCGTCTGCGCAGCCGAGAAGCCTCGATTCCTGAAGGGGTTGTCGGAGATGGCGGTTGCGACTGGGGATGATGCGGTCCTTGAGGTCCTGGTCAAAGGGATTCCCATGCCAAGTGTTTCGTGGTAAGAACTCTTTTCGAACTCTCGGCGCATCGGTGCCAACGTCAGTATACGTTTACTAGGCCGATCGAGAAGGAAGCACTTTAGGGGAGGCTTTGTTCGCTGGATTCTGATTTTCGTCTTATTTCCCGGAAATCGGCGCCAACGATTCATTCTTTTATCTATCGTTACTAGGCGAAAGGGGGATACGGAGCTGAAGGAAAGCGACCGAGTGAAAATCACCTCCGATGGCATGGAGCACAGATGCGTCCTCAAGAAGTGCCAAGAGTCCGACTACGGCAAGGTAAGTAGGGAGCATCTGGGGGGTGGGGCTGGGAGGGGAAATCGAACGGATGAAGGACGCAAGTCCGCGCCTCTGCAGTACGTGGCAGTTGCGGAGAACGTGGCCGGGAAGGAGGAGAGCAGCGGGGACCTGAGCGGGAGGATGGAGCCCCCGACCCTCAAGGAGAAGCTGGAACCGAGCGTCAAAATCCGGGAGGGGGAGGCCCTGGCACTGGCTGCCAAGGTGGAAGGCGCTCCCAAGCCCGTCGTCAAATGGTGAGTGATGTCGAGGACCTCGAAGGGGGGACCTCGCGACCTCGATGAATCGCGGTGCCTCGTCCGTGCCGTGCCCCAGAAATGATCCCTCCTCGGATGGGATTCTTGGCAAGCCATCGATAGGGAGGGACTCGGGAATTGATGACTCTCTATATTTAGGTACAAGGATAACGAAGAAGTGATCCCCGATGAGCACGTAGTCGTCGAGGATCTGGCGGACGGGACCCAGCGACTCAACATCGCCAAGTGCACGCCTCAGGATGCTGGCCAGTATAAGATGGTCGCCGTCAATCCTTCGGGGAAAGTTGCGTCCGATTGCAGCGTCCACGTCAAACGTATGTGCTCCGCCGTCTGCTTTTAAATCATTTGTAGATTCCGAAGACGCTAATTTGGTTCGGTTGGATCGACAGAGGTGCCCAGTCCTGCCAAGATCTTGACCCCTCTTCAGAATGCCACCGTAGTCGAAGGAAAGCCTTTGGAGCTAGTCACTAAAGTAGCGGGATATCCCACCCCTAAAGTAAAATGGTGAGTTTATATATATATAAATAATCGACTGGAACTCTGTCTTGGAGACCTGACGTGCCGGACTCGAAACGATTACAGGATGCGGGACAACACGCCGATTCACCCGAGCCGCGACGTGACCATCACGCAGAAGCCGGACGGGACCTTGGTGCTGAAGGTGGCCCGGGCCACGCCTGAGGACGCGGCGCGGTACAGCGTCGTGGCGAGCAATGACCACGGGGAAGACGCCTCCGAGGCGGTCGTGGAGGTGGAAGGTGGGTGCGGCCGAGAGGTCGAGGGGGGTCGGCGTGGGTCGCAGGTGGTTCAGAGGGGTTCAAAGGGGCTCTGCTCTCTTTCTGGGGACAGCGCCGTCCTTCCCGCCCAAGTTCGCGACGGCGATCAAGGATGTGAAGGTGGTGGAGGGGTATCCGGCGAAGCTGGAGACCCAGGTCGAGGGCCACCCCGTTCCGGTCATCAAATGGTCAGCCGTCTTGTCTTTTTCCATTCTATTCCGCTCTATTCTCTCTTCTCTCTCATCTCTCCTCCCTTCCCTCTCCTTTCTCATCTCTCTTCTCTCCTCTCTCATGTGTTCTCTTCGATCGTTTCCCTGCTTCGGGGAGCATTGATGGCATGATCCTTCCTCATTCTCCCGTAGGATGAAGGAAGGACATGAGGTGATACCGGACGGAGAACACGTGAAGGCCTTCACGGAGCCAGACGGCAGATGCGTCTTGGTGATCGAAAAGGCGAGGCCCGAGGACGCCGGGACGTATTCCGTCGTCGCTTCCAACGCGGAAGGCCAGGCCAGCATCGACTCCAAACTCACCGTCCAAGGTACGGCCGATCCCGATTCGCTTCCGGGTCGCTTCTTTTCCGTGTTGCCGCCTCATCTTTTTCGTGCTGTCTGGTCTCGTAGGGAAAACGAGGGAGGGAGAGGGGGAGTCACCGGCCGGGTTCTTGAAGCCTCTGCCGGAAGTCAACGTCGACGAGGGGAAGGAAATTCGACTCATCGCCCCAGTCGTGGGGAATCCGCTGCCCGACGTCTCTTGGTACAAGGACGGTGCTCCTATGATCCCTTCCAAGGACGCGAGGGTCGTCTTCGATGGCGACAGGGTGGGTGGCTTTTCCGCCTTTTGCTCGCGAGGCTGCGTGGGGGTCGGAGTTTCATCGCGGGGTATTGGCGCGGGTAGGTGGGGCTGGTGATTCCGACGGCGAGGGCGAGCGACGCCGGGGAATACGAATGTCGGTTGAAGAACGCACTCGGGGAAGATTCGTCCAAGGCGGCGGTCGGCGTGCGGAAGCTCTTCGAGCCGCCGTCGTTCGTTCAGAAGATTGCGGATCTTCAGCAGGTGAGGGGGCGGGGGACGTTGGGGTTCTTTTGGGTTTGGTGCTTGGTACTTGTTTTGAGATGTTTTATATGGTGCGTGTAGCTCCAGGGACTGGATGCGAAGTTCACGGCTCGCGTGGCGGGGGTGCCCTTCCCGGATGTGACGTGGACGAAGAACGGCGCGCCGATCCGGTTCTCGGATCGGATCCGGATGAAGCAGGACGGAGACGTGTGTCTCCTGTTCATCCGGGATTGCCACACGGGTGACGATGGGATTTACGGCTGCGTGGCGCGGAACGTGGATGGGGAGGACAGGTGCCTTGCGTCGCTCAGCGTTGTCGAGAAGATGTAAGTTTGCAGTTGAGAAATTTGAGGGGGGTGGGGGGGATGGGGGGGGGGGGAAGAGGACGAGAAAAAGCTTTTTAAATTAAATTAAATTTAATTTAATATTTGTTTAGAGAGCGAAAAGAGAGGGCGGAGCCACCAGGATTCCTGAAGCGGATCTGCGACTGCGAGGTCTACGACGGGATGACGGCCAAGTTCACGGCCTGCGTCACGGGCCACCCAGAGCCGGAGTTCGAGTGGTTCAAGGACGGGACCAAGGTCTGGCCCTCGGACCGGATCACGCTGGAAGCCGAGGGCTCGGGGCTCCTCCGGCTGCTCATCAAGTCTGTCACCGACGTCGACATCGGCCGATATCGGCTGAGGATCTTCAATCCCCACGGAGAAGACGCCTGCTCCGCTGAGCTCATCCTCGACTGTGAGTCCCAGAAAAATAAAATAAAAATAATAAATATAAATAAAATATAAATAAAAAATAAAACAGAAAATGAATCAGGCGGAAAATGCAACTGCGGCAAACACCTCTCGATGTTGCAGCCTTTGACATCGGTCGCGTGCCACCTCCATCGGGGATTCCCCTCCCCCTCTCCGACCCTCCGATCATCTCCAGGATGACCGACCGGAACCTGACCCTCTCCTGGAGGCCTTCCATCCCCTCCGCCCCCAGGTTCCCCGTCACCTACCACGTGGAAATGAGAGACCTCCCCGACGGCGAGTGGACCTCCTTCCAGAAAGGTAAGCCCCATCCCGAGCAACCGCCACCTCACCCATCGCGCCCTCCGCGACCTCCACCCTCCATGACCTGCACCCTCCATCCAGGCATCCGCGGCTGCGCCTGTGAGGTCCGGAACCTCGTCCCCTTCCGCGACTACCAGTTCCGAATCCGGGTGGAGAACAAGTACGGGTCCAGCGACCCGTCCCCGCACGCCACGACCAACCGACAGCGCCTCGTCCCCGAGACCCGCCACACCCCCGCCCTGCCTGCCCACCTCCCCACGGACTTCGACTACGAACGGCCCGCCCACGAGCAGATGGCGGCCGCGCCAAGGTCAGACCACTTCCCTGTCTCCACCTCCGTTGCCATTCTCAGTCTGACCCGGTTCAAACACATCTCCTGCACCTGACGTCTTCCTCGCTCGACCGTGAATGTATAAATAATCGACACGACCGCTAGTTTCGTATA